TTTCTGTATCATGTTTTTCATGTGTTTGTTTCTGTTTATTGTATTTGAAAAACATGTGTGTTGAAAGACTTACTTATTTCACTTTGGTGTCTGATGGGATAAAGAAAATGGTTATTTAATATCATGGCATATGTACAAATGTTTAAGTTTTCAAACAACATTGCCACTTTGACTCAATCTAAATCCGCATTTTCTGCATTCTATTTATAATTTGCACAATCTCCATTGTCTCATTCTAAACGCCCACTGTCTGCACTGTCTGTTTAACGGAACCTCAGTGTTAAATAATCCTTTTTTTGCACAGTCTACACTTTCTGTTCAACTGATCTCAATGTTATAAGAGTTAAACGAGTTTAATGTTTTTTTGCACTGTCTGCACTGTATCCTATAATGACAAAATATAACATTGCTCAATACAACATTGGTTCGATCCTTCATATAATGTGATTGACATTTGTTTATATGAATTAGTGTATGGATATGGAGGATTGGTTTAGAGAATCATGATAAGCAATTAAAGAATCTGCGTGAAAGGAAGCCAGGCGACCCCGACTCAATGGCCTCTCTCTTGCTTGATGGGAACCAAGGCCCCTCGGGTAAGAAATCAGCTCAATCGCTTTTTTCTACTTCATCTTGGGAGATTAGGCATGCTTGAGTTGTGCATTTCTCCGCTGACAACCATGTTCACCACCTTCTCCTCCAACGTAAGTATTTTTGATTTCAATACTTCAATATCTAATTCTTCGCCATCAAAATTCACACCCAAATTCAGTCTTTCAAAATTATGAGTTTTGTTTTACTACACACTTTTTAGCACTAAATCCTACGAGATTATGAAATTTCTTCCAAATTACGGAGTATGAAAGTTAAGAACTTTGTTGAATAAAAAATTTTAGTTGAATGTATAATGAGTTGTAAATATAGCATGATATATACACCCTTCTCAAAAAATTTCACATATTGACTTTTTTGGTGAACTCTCTACATACATTGACCATTAATACATATAAATTTATAGAAATAAATATTTAAAAAAAGGTGATGTATGAAAAATACATCTTAAAATGAAATAAATTATATTAAATTTACATTATGACTAAGATGTATTTACAAGTCTTTTTCTGTTTAAGACTTTTTTCTTCTTATTTTGTGTCTATATGAATTGTATCCCCTATCCACCATTTCATCAGCATAAAAAAGTAGCTTGACTCTCATTTCAATCTTGATGGATATGGATGAAACAAACTTATCTATTGTATGCTTCAGAGAAAAAAACAAAATATGTAATGGGAAGCATTCTAATTTGAGGGATACATTATTATTGTTAATTAAGGTATTAATTTGCAATTATAAATTTCCTATTGATTAAATTATGATGTTCGGATTCAATATTTCCATTTTCATAAATGTGATCATCATATATCAAATAATTATGTTTAATATCAAATTTTAAAATGGCATGAAGGGGTACGATTAATGGTTTCTACTGTTCATTTCATTTGTTCATATGTGTTCGAATGATTTAGTCACTAATCTGTTGCATATTGACATCTATTCCAATTTTAACTAGATTCCTTTTTAAAGCCTGTTAGTTCTCCCTGTGCAAAATTTGAATCTCACTTTTTTGTTAATGAATTGTATTAATCATGTGTGGAGATGTGATTATATGGGGATTTGTGTATTTAATGTTTGTGCTTGCAGATGGCACTACTTTGTCTTCTACTATTGCTTCAAAGGTGTACATGGACATTACCAATGATGAACCTATATACATTTTTTAGGATTTTGCAGGGCCGGGGCATATGTGCAAGTGGGAGGAGAGTTATGAACATATGTNTTTTTAAAGCCTGTTAGTTCTCCCTGTGCAAAATTTGAATCTCACTTTTTTGTTAATGAATTGTATTAATCATGTGTGGAGATGTGATTATATGGGGATTTGTGTATTTAATGTTTGTGCTTGCAGATGGCACTACTTTGTCTTCTACTATTGCTTCAAAGGTGTACATGGACATTACCAATGATGAACCTATATACATTTTTTAGGATTTTGCAGGGCCGGGGCATATGTGCAAGTGGGAGGAGAGTTATGAACATATGTCCATTGTTTTGGATTTTGTAGGCGTATATGTGTAAGTGGGAGGAGGAGTACTAAATCCTAGGAGCTCTGATATGTTTGAATCACCAAGCACTGAACTAATGAATGGTTTTTACTTTGTACTCCTCAAGTGGTTTGCCGGATACTACTCAAAATCCTACAATCAAACTAAAACATTTGTACCGACATTTTTATCCTTAATGAAAGTTGCATTACTTTTTTGCTCTGTCTTGCAGAATTTGATTGAAGATTTTTTTTAGAATATAAGGATAATTCGTTGGAATAAAATGTGGATGATATTACTAATTCTACTTTCAACAAAAGAATGAAAGAGATGGAGCATCATGATGAAGATGAAGAGTGTTAAACTAGAGAAAAACAGTTTATGATTTATAATTGTTGGGTCTGATTTGTGTGTTACTTTGAGAGTATTACTTTTTAGGGTCTGATTTGTGTGTTCAACAGTTTATGATTTATAATTGTTGGATTCTTTGTGGCTTAATTTTAATATACATAATTTTGTGGCATATTTTTCTAAATACGATTGCATGTTATTTTTAAGAGTTTGAATTCTTTGGATGATGTTTAAGAAAAAAACATGCGATTAGCATTTTTATTCTTCCTCTAAAGTCTAAATGTTTAAGCAAAGAATATCCTATGCCCATTATCCTTTTTCTTCCCGGTTGGATCCTAAATAGTTCTTTTTCGTTTATACAAAAATTTTATTACTAAGGGAGATACTAATTACGACTTTTTCATTATTTCATTTCTTTTCATTTGGAAAAAATAGAGTTGGTATTAATAATGTCGATCATGAGTATATAATTTAAACATGTAAGATTAAAATAAAGTCAAATTACCATACATGTATATTTTTTATGAAACTTGAAAATGTCTCTTTTATAAAATAATGTGTTTTTAGTAATATTGTACAATTACAAAACAACGAGTAATACTTTCACAAAAAAGTGACACCATGATGTAATTAGTGTTATTAAAATTCCATTAGAATCTTTGATTCTTAACTCGATTTCTTCACTGAAGATTATAGTAGAATCACATATCCAGATATATTGAAAAATATAAAAGATTAGACTTCTTGAAGATTTTGAAATAATCAATGAATTGGTTTTATCTCTTACGAGATCTATCCAAAGTGAATAAAAATGAAAAGGATATTATCGGTCGTAAATTAAACAGATGTAGAACCTCTTTAGCATCGGTTATACACTAAAAACGATGCCTTTACTTTTTGTATATACTCCCTCCGTCCCGCTATATCCGTCCACTTTTGACTTTTGAAACTGTTCATCTAAGCACTTTGACTCATCAAATTCTTTCAATGTGTAAGCCTAAATATAGTCATGTGTGATCTTGTTTGATTTGTCTTAACATATAGATTATTAATATATAATTTCTATAATTTTTTAATATACAAATTACAAGATAAAATATATTTAAGAAGTGCATTGGATGGTGTGTAAAAATGAAAGTGGACAAATACTCTGGGACGGAGGTAGTATAAAAATTGAAAAATAAAAATGGGCATTAGCATCGGTTGTTTTGAATAACCGATCTATTGATCAAGTGCATCAGTTATTCCAAATAACCGATGTTAATGCCCATTTTTATTTTTCATTTTTTATTAAAAAATATCAAAGATATTGGCTCTTAAAAACACCTGATGCTTTTGACCTTTTGCATCGGTTGTTTCAATAAGCAAATCAATTGAGGCAGTCAATTTGTGTATTTTTGTAGTAGTGTGATTCCTGGTGATGAAAAAGAATATTTGAGTTCTGATTCTTCATGCCAAACAGATTCAAATGTAGGCGTAGATCGGATTGAATTAAGATACAACGATAACCCTCCAAAAGATTTGAATTAAGATTATATACTTACATGTTCTTTTCAATTTATAAACTGAAGAATTTCGGTTATCAAGTATTTATGTAATATCATTCGTTAATTTCTGCAGTACAATATTAGATTTTGTTCAATCTTTTAACCATTAACTACAAAGAAAGTATTAACTGATAAAAAAATATTTGTTCCACCCGTGCGTGGCACGGGTTAAAATGCTAGTATATATATATATATACTTTTTAAATATGTTTAAACCACTGGTTTGAAAAGTGAACCCGTACCTTGACCGGTTCGGTCACCGGTCCGATTCTGAAAACTATGATTTCTCTATACTACAAATTGATTAAATATTGAAATCAATTTGATAAGATCACAGCTTATTATTTAATTATTTAAAATATTTAAACCAAAATAAATAATATTTATTTAATTAAATTATTAGGTAATTATTAGGCCAGTTTTATAGTATTAACAATTTATAACTAAAAAGAATTATCATTTAAAAAATTGAGAAATATCTACTAATTATAATTAGAAATAAAATTATACAAAAACACAAATTTAAATAATTATCTTTGGCATTAAGTATTTTTATCTAAAAACTTATACCTAAAAAATCATTTAAAAAAGGGTGTATTACCTTGTTATTTAAGAACTTTTTAGACATTTACTATTACTAGTTACCTTTTTTAACAACAAAAATAATATGATAAAAATAGAAAGAGTGAAATAGTATATGAACAATAATTTTTAAAAGTACATGGAGAAGTAAAAAACACTAATTAAAATGTTTTTAGTAACTAAAAATATTTAATAATATAATGTAAAATATTATTATTCTAATTTTATTTGACAAGAACCCGAATCAATAAGATCAACTAATCGTCCCTTGACCCACTCGCCTGCTCAGGTCGAGTTCTGGTCCGATTTTCAAAATGTTACTTTTAGAGGTGTAGTCCACATTCCCTTCCCCTTTCACTTCTACTTTTGTATTATTATTTTTAAGACTTAATTTATATTAAATCACTTAAACTAAAAATTTAAATTATATATTTCTTTAATTATAAATTTAAAAATATATACACTACTAAATTAAAGTTTCATTGAATTATTTTTCTTAAAATACTTTAACATTTCATTAACCAAAAACCAAAAAACTAAAATTTAAAATTTAAAATAAAATAAAAGTTTTATATTAAAAAAATAAGTAAAAACATAAATGGTGAAGTAGAACAAAAAATTAAAATAAATACAAAAAATAAAAAAAAAGAGCAAAACTAAAAATTAAACCGAATAAGAAGAAGAAGAAGAAGAATTAATCCAATGTAATGAGGTTTAAATAGAATTCTTAGTTAATGCCACATAGAAAAGAGAAGATGACTTGTAAACTAACATTAGACATGCTCTTGACTCAAAAAAAAAACATTGGACATGCTCTAACAACCAAACAGAATGTTTTTTGATTTTCAGACATTACTTATTTAGACACCAGTAATTTTTTAACGAAAACAGAATCTTTTTAATGTAAACAAATTTTCCCTCTGTCTCATTTTAAAGATTGCGTTTTTAATTCACCCCTTTGTTTAATATTTCATTCAATAATTCTGTTTGATCTACGCAAATTTCACTTAATTTCTGCACTGGAATAGGCCCCGTTTTAACTTTTTTTATCATACTTTGACACTATTTGATTACAAATTAAATATAATGTAAATGAATAAATATTATAAAAATTTGATATATCAAAACTATATCATAAGATGAATCCACTTATATTGAATTCACATTTAGAATAAACATATTTTTTATAATATACTTGTATATGGTAAAAAATATCACTGTTTGAAAAAATTAAAACAAGAAGGATTTTCTGAGACATATTTAAAAATTACTCCAATGGGAAAGAAAATTTTGATCAATCCAGGGAAAAAAATAGAAAGAAAATTTGCTAAAATGGGTGTAAATGTGAGGCCATTGGTTAAATATTCGAAACAATTGTACCCAGAAGTTCAATTTGACAAACAATAGGACCCAATTGTAATTAGATGAAAATATACTCGCACTATCCACTCCATAGAACCGCTCCTTCAAGAGTTCAAAGCGGCCATTAGAGCACGAGAATTTAGAAGAAACCGCTAGACGACCGAAGGAATCGGAGCTCCGATTTTCCATCGTCTTCAGATTCCAATTGGACCATATTTGGACTTCAGGTCATACCCGATTCCTTCCCATTTTACCGCTTTCCTGATTTTTTTAAAAATCGTATCGGATCACTGAGTGATCGAGTTCCGGCACTGAATCGACTCAGGGAAGACCGCTGTTCGTCCGTTCTTCCATGTTTTTGAATGCTCACAATGCCGTTTTTTCCCCGGTTGATTTTCTGTGTTTTGTATGAATTTTCGTTTTTTGGAAATCCTTAAGGATTTTTTACTATTTGGAGTTGCAATGCTGGATTTTGCTTATTATATGCGTATCGATTAATAGATCCTCTGGTTGGAACTTCAATCAGCATTTAAGATTCTATATTGATGGCCACATTTTTTCCCATTTTAGCAAATGATCATTTTTGTTCTTTTGTCCATGGTCAATTTCATGTTAGTGTTGTTCATCCCAGAGAGTTTTGAGATTGTTGTTATGCACTGAATGTTTTTGCTTGTTCTGTAAATAAAATTGGAGTAAATTCCATAATTAATCCTTTATAACAGGGGGGTTTCCATATTTAGTCCTCTATTATCAAATATTACCCCCGTAGTCCTTTTCTTAAGGGTACCTTTTCACAAATGGTCTTTTTTTTATCTTCTGCCGTGTTGGTGTTAATTTAAAGACTAAAAGTATAATTTGACGTCAACATTATGTCTAGTGACGTGTTCTGATATTGGTTAAGCGAATAACACAAAAATAATGACTATGATTGTGGGCTAGGATTCTGACGAAAGATCACATTTGTAGACTGTAGTTGTCGTAAAAAGCGACTGTAATTCACAAACGACGCAAACGGAACAGCTTTTGGAATTGTGTATGACAAAAAAGATATATTATCATTGTGAAATTACACTTTTACCCCTCAAATTAACACCAACATGATAGAAGATCAAAAAAAGGACTATTTGTGGAAAGGTACCCATAAAAGAAGGACCACTTGAGTAATATTTGATAATAGAGGACTAAATAGGGAAACCCCCATGTTATAAAGGACCAATTATAGAATTTACTCATAAAATTGTCTGTTTCTATTGGTGACAGCAGAATGTGGGAATGGCGTGGGGACTCTTGTCAAGGAGATGATGCAGATAATGGTGAGGCTTGTTTTTCAATTAGCCGTGTTTGTCAATCGTTTGTATATTTTTTTACGGAGTATTTGATTTTAAGCTCTTGTTGCTTTGCAAAACAGACATACCGAATTACCTACTGAGCCAGGATGAAGATCTTTCCTTTATGTTTGATGATGAGGAAACTACTCCAGTCAAGTCATTTGGAGATGTCCATTACCAGTTTAGTAGTGGTGGTATGATGATGTAGAATTTTATCAATATATGAGATTTCACATTATACTCACATGTATGCGTACACATTTAATGTGTATACCGTGTGATAATGGGGTGATGCATTGTGCTACTCATGCGTTTCTTTTCATGTTTTTCTCTTTTAATACAGAAAATAGCGATAAGGAACCGTCCTCACAGGCAAAAAGGCGCCGCATGCTAGAGTTTGGATCGGAATGTTTGGATTCACTTCGCAGTGTAGGAACGTCGTCTGCATTGATGAAATCGATGGTTGGTCACCGAGTGCCGTTATGCAATAAATTTTATGATTATTACTAACCTGAAGGAAATCCTTGCTTTCATACGAATAGTGATTCGCCATATTTTTCTGAAAGTATTGGTTGTACTTTCATAACATCTTGTTTCATGATTACTCTGTATTATGATAGAATAGTTTAGTTGTAGAATAACCTTGTGGAAACACACGAATAAACTAGAAAACATCTATTCATTTACACATTCAGAAAGTGTTTATAATTTTAACCTAACTTCCAAACCTAAGGAACCTCTTGTTTCAACATCTTGGCTTGTGATTTTTTGAAACAATTTGACCCGATCTTGAATGACTTCAAGACATGAGCATGTTCTCTAATGTCTACATTTAGGGTATATTTGGAACTCGGAAAATGCTAAGGAAAGACTGAAAGAGAATAGGGTTGAAAGTGTAGGGGATATGCGGAAGAAAATGAAATGCTAGGAAAAACCAAACAAATTCTATCCCCATAGAAAGAAGGTGAAACACTACCCACAGGCTTAAGCTTTTGGTTAGAAAGTGGATCCAGACTTTATATGAGAAAATGGTCAAATCTCACCTGTTACTCCATCCGTTTCACTAAGCTCTCCGAAATTCGGACAATTTGCTATAAATATTTTTATTCATGTTTCTTTGACAGTTCAACGTGGTCCTTTTGACATTGGCCCTTGGTGTCCTTTTAGGACACTAAATCATTTTGGGGGATTTACAGTGCCCCGACTGAACCCCCTACCCCCTTTTGTCCACCCATGCACCCAGGCCCTGGTTTAGATGTTGTGCCCACTATCATTGTAGCCAATCGATGCTAGCCCCCCCCCCCCAAGCGACCCACCCCCTCCACCTAATCCACCCTCTGGTCCGAGCCCAATGGGTCACCATGGGGTCTTCAAATCACCTATTGTCCTAAAATGACATTGAGGGCCGATGTCAAAAAAACCACACTGATCTTTCTATTATATACTGGCTAATAAATCTTTATATGAGTCTATGTTAGATTTTTTTAAAAAAATAATAAAATTTGTTTTTTTCATATCGTCTAAGGTTAAGTGAAACTTTAGAAAAATCATTTTCTTTCTTACCCTACAGTTTCCCAAGTTCCAAACCTAATATGGTGTTTGAAGCTATGTGCTGACTTGTGCTTTGGCTGTGATCAGGAGGAAGAGAATTCAAAGTCTGAAGTATCCCAGTGGGCTTCAGAACTTGCTGGTATTTTAACTGTTACAGAGTATATTGTTTTTATACAAATACTTACCGTATCCTTCCACAGAAAGCATGTGATATTGATTACATGTTATTTCCCAACAGATATGTCTGCATCCAGTAATGACATCCTGGACCAATCATCTGAGAGGTGGATTGCTGATTGCTTTAATGATGCAGATATGCACATCAGCCCTGAGAATTTGTATGTTTCTTGGATACACTTTATGTCTCAAGATTTAGTCTGATTCGATACAATGTAATTCTGATTTTTTATTTTACGGGAACAGTAGTGCGCCTGCTGATGCAACAGCTGATGTTCAGATTGATATCTCAGGTATTTTCCTATGTCTTGTTGGCCATCATCAACTATCAAGATTTTTTTTCTTAAAAAAATTTCCTCATCCTCGTCTTAATTTCTAGAATCAACTTAATGTTGCAGAGTTCTGCACTACGCATCTTGAGTGTGAACCTAAGGCTGTACTTCAGAAGCTTCATCCAGTCCGAACTCGTCGAAATATTATCTTTAAAGGTTATTGCTTCCTGAACTGCCCTAAGTGATAGTTAGAGCATATTTGGTAAGGGCTATTTGGCTTAAATGGTTGAATTTGACATAAAGATTATTTAGAAGTCAAGCGTTTTGTGTTTCATAAGACCTGTTTCAGCCAAATTATAAGTCAAAAGCTACTTATTCTACTAATTAGAATGAACACTATATTCTGATTTTGGCTGAATAGAACCTTATATTATTTCCCTTGTTAGATTCCCACACTGGACCATTACATAGAGAACGATGAGTTAATAATATCTTGGATCACACCATACCGGAAGATCAGATCTTATAGATAAGCTAGTTCAACCCACGATCTTATTAACCCATCACTCTCTATTTAATGTTCTAGGGTGGGATTCTAACATCCCTGTTTGGTATGACTTAACTCAAAAGCATTATTCTAAAATTTAAAAGCAATATGTTGATGCTTTTTAACTGAAATAAAAATGAAATTATTCTATTGGGATGTTTTCTCATAATGAGTGTCTTGTTGATCTCAGCCATATGATGGGTGAGACTAGGTTTGTACCAATCTACACGCATCATGTGGCAAATTTATGCTAAAGAAAACAGACTCTTAGGGCTTGTTCTCTTCATTTTATTTGATTGGTTCTGATCTAATTTGATTAAGTTCTGATCTTTTCTGATCGTAGTTATATTTAAAGTTGTTTCTGATAAGGTCAGATCTGATTCAAATACGAATAAGTTGAGGAGAACAAGCTCTTAGTCTGTCTATGGTCTCACTCAAGATTGTCTGAATTTACACTTTGACATGTGTAGCATGGTATCTAAATGCTCATCTTATTCTCCCTCCAGGTAGAAAATCATTTATCCAGACTCCCAAGGTCCCCACTTCTGTTGTCTATCCCTTTGATTTTGTTAAACCCTGCGGTGCTCGTGGTGATGTGACCCTAAACGACATAAACAAGCGGATTAAAACCCCGGCATTGCCCAAGAAGACCGAAAAGGCTTCGATCGTGTATCCCAGGTCTGCTTTTTCAGGTAAACCTGTTGTTGGGAAGACTAAAATTCGCACAGAGGGAGGTAAGGGCAGTATTACTATTATGAGAACCAAAGGATAACTCATACAAGCAAATTCAGGAAAAGATTTTTGGCACTTCTAATATTGGTGGCATCTGGAGATTGTACCATATCATCAAAAGTTGTTTATATCCTCAATCTCTGTCGCAGATGTGGCGTCTTATGTAGGGTCCGTTTGGCAACAATTTCATCGTCTTGCTTTAGCGTTTTGAAATGATTATTTATTGGCAGCGTTTAGCTTTAATTTTTTTTAAAGTTAATCTATACCATTAAAAAGTTATTCAAAACGCTAATGCTAATCGAAAACGTTGTTCCCAAACAAGGCCATTGACCTGGTATATTTTGAAGATCTTTACTAAATTATTTTGAAGATCTTTACTAAATTTCTTGTATCTATGAAACTGTTAACATAATCATATATATTTATATATTTTGAAGGACTGATTACTTTTTTGTTCGTGATTCGTTAATGTATTATAATCCATTGTGTTAACAGTGTTAGACCTTAGGCCATGTGCTATGGGGGCTTGACGGGGTATAAATATGTATGATGTGGAGTTATGAAAAATATGTGTTCTACTGGGTATGAAGGAATGTGATGAGGTGTGAATTGTGTTAAATTTTGATTTGTTGAAATTAAAAAAAAGTTGGGACAACGGTGGGATGGCCCTCTTGTAGGAAGGTGTCACGCCCTCCTCACAGAACTCCGTCATGGTGAATGGACATGCATGGGGGCGTGGAGGAGGTCAAGCCCTCACGCCACCATACAATACGGCCTCATAAATTTAGCTCATAAATTTGGTAGCCATAATGATGCAACACCTTGGTTCCCATGACATTGGTTCCCAATGTCAAGGGAACCTTGCTCATGATGCAATGGCTTAATATGAACAAGCAAAACTAGTTCAATTTTTTATACTCCCTTGCTCCAATAATTCTCTTCACACTTTCATTTTTGGTCGCTTTAATTTTTTTCCTTTTTGACAAAAAAACATTCTTTAATCGGGGTGGTCTTGTTGACATTGACATCTAGTGTCAAGGGATGACAATGTCAATGAAATTATCCC